CGTCATAAAAATATGAAAACCAAACATGAAGAACACCAATGGAATTAAGATGTTGTTACGTATAATCACACATGTTAACACTAAAGCTTTGTATTTCCATGATTACGCTTCCAAGCAGCAAGATACCTGTAAAACGACACGACACTTACGTTTTTGTTAGGAAAAACTTGGGCGACAAATGTCTGTCCTGCAGAAGGAATTTCCTGATGGTAGGCATTATCAAGAAATGCGGTCAACCTTTCGATCTATAGCGATAAAGTACATATTATCATATTATTTGAGATGAATATAAAAATGAAGCAAATAAATTTATTCATTGATTTTCATATATTACCATCGTAGGAGGAGCAGCTTCAATTCCAAGTATTCAACATGCATGATTTCTCTCTTGGCCACGTGCCACGTATTTTTGCAAAGAGAGCATGGCATGCAATTCTTATATCGAGTATCCTGACTAGCGCCCCAATAGCTACAGGCTTAGTCTCTCGATTAAAAAATCAACTGCTAAACGAAGGTACGTTTGATTGTCACGTTTAGAAGCTTATTCAGCTTCGACATAACAGCAGTCCTTCAAATGAACCCTATTCTTCCTGCTTATATATGTGATCGCTCTATATCGATCAATATCATTTTCCACTCCATGCAATCAAAACTGGAACGCCTGATAATGATGTAAATATTATAAATGGTGCTGCTCAGCTTGGCAAGGTGATGCCGGCCAATCCTGCACAGTCAGTCACAATGACTTTATTGCGCCAGACTCTGCCTATCACAGAGCGATATTACGACCAGCGCCATGCAGAAAGGAAGCCTTCTGAAAATTGTCGGTAAACTTAACAACCTGATGAGTAATTGACAGCAAAAGAAGAGTTTAATTATTGGAAACAAGCCTGCACTACTTTTTGAACAGTCGATGAACCGCTGCTTAATGTTAATATCCTCCTATTTACTGTTGCATTATTCTCTAGATCATACCAGTAACAATTTTCTCTTCGTATATACATAAGCATCGTCGTCGATGTATGCGGGATGAAATGTGCCAGTTCTTGAAGTCAGGTTAAACCGATAATTCTTTCTTTGCATTCAGCAGCCACGGCCACAATAGATATCAGATGAATAAAAGGACTTTAAGACAAATGGCCTAGCACTGTTGCTCAATTAATTAACAGTTCTGTTTCCTCAGCACGCCAGCAATTAGGTTCTAACCCCAGTAATATGCTAATAAGCATAATTTAATCAACCCGGCTTATAGAGTGCCATTGCATCGCTCGTCTGCTTCCGAATTGGGCTATTCAAGTATGCCATCTGTAAAGTATCTGGCACCATAACTACTGTCCACAGAAATAACACGGTTTGTTATGCGACACGCAAAAATAGTGCTGTAAGAAA